GAAAAAAAAAAAAAAAAAAAAAAAAAAAAAAAAAAAAAAAAAAAAAAAAAAAAAACTCGCACCTTACGTCTACGTATTTACACCAGGCGTTTGGTGCCAGAAGTTATTTTGGTCTCGTATGATCGCGAGATTCCGCGTGACACCCTAACGTCATTGGCAACAGAAGCCTTAACGACCGGAAAGAAAGGCATCGAAAGCCCTATTGACAAGTACAGATTTTAGTTTTACTACAATAACGGCCGTTTTAGTGGTAAAATGCAATATAATTTATTTCTGTGTGTTGTTTTCAATGCATTTCTTGTGATATTTTGAATCTCAAAGGAAGAATTATTATTGCTTTAAGGGCATTGTAACCCTTTACTATCACCCAGTTGCCGAAAATGAAGTATTTTGCTTGCCTTTAATTATTCAATAATACATCTATAATTTTGCTGATTTTAAACAATGAAAAACCCTCCAAATATTATATCGGCGTTTACTTTTTTTCGTTGCAATGTATAAGCACAGGCAACTCAAATGTTTTTAAAATCGTCAATATAACACTTCTATATTTTGAGGTGAGATAGCAACCAGTATGGGGCGTAACTTCATCCCTGAACAAGATTTTATCACAAAATTGGCAAAGAGTGTATAAGATACCATCCCGTGCCGTCATTTTGGTTTATATATATTTGTTATTTAGTTATGAGCCCCTAATTACAGATTTGCGGTCAAAACTACGACTTCACGTAGAAACCTGAAAGAAATTGACTCTGATGTTCTTAAAGCAAAACTTCAGTCTGCCTTTAACTCCTTCCCACCTGATACCAAAGCAATTGGAAACACTACTTCGGAAGATGTGAACAATCTTCTGCATTCATATCACAACACCATTACCACCATACTCTTGCTCGAACTTGAACTTGCTCCAGTCAATACTCGAGTAACACGCAGTAAGTCAACAGCGCCATGGTTTTGTAGTGAACTGTCTGAGATGCGAAAATCAGTTAGAAAATGTGAGCGTAAATGGCGCAACACCGGTCTGGAAGTCCATCGCCAAATTCAAAAAGAAAAACGCCTAGAGTACTGTCGCCGTGCTGATCAACTGAAATCTGACTACCACAAAAAACGCATAGACAACTCGGATACCAAAAGTCTTTTTATGATTGTTGAGGAGTTAACCGGTTTTAAAAAATCAGCAACAACCATTAAACCAACACTGTACTCTGATGAGCAACTTTGTTCTGTGTTCCTGAAGTTTTTTAACAACAAAATAGAAAAACTTCGAAAATCCTTTGAAAGCGGAATTAACAACTCCATTATACAAGAAGTTGATTCTCCTACATCTCCGAGTTTTTTTCAGAGATTTTACCATCGCTACTCCTGAACTAATAAAAAAGCTGATAAACGCTTCTAAGCCAAAATCATCAGAATTGGACATCCTTCCAACTAACCTCACAAAGGAATGCATAGAAGATTTACTGCCTTCCATTACAAAGCTTTTCAACACATCTCTTTAAAGCGGAATAGTCCCTGGGTGTTTCAAGAAAGGTTTAATCAGACCACTCATAAAAAAGGCCACAGGCAATCCAGACCCTAATGACCTGCAGAACTACCGTCCCATCTCAAACCTCTCATTTCTTTCAAAAGTACTGGAGCGCCTAGTAGCGACACAGCTAACTGACTATCTGCATACTCATCCATTTTTTGCAAAGGTTCAATTGGCATATAGAACACATCATAGCACTGAAACAGCGCTGCCTAAGGTGCACAATGATATTCTTCTGGCACTTAAAGATCAGAAACAAGTGGTCTTATTATTATTTGATTTGTCTGCAGCCTTTGACACAATAAACCACGAAATTTTGTTCAACAGACTAAAAAATCGTTTCGGTATAGATGGTATTGCATTGGCATGGTTCAAATCGTACCTGACTGAGCGTGAACAATCAGTCTCAATAGGCACTCACAAATCAACGTCAACACCACTAACTTGTGGTGTACCACAAGGCTCTGTACTCGGCCCCATCCTGTTCACTCTCTACACGTCACCAATTGAGGACATTGTCTCTAAGTACGGTTTTAACCTTATGCTCTATGCAGATGACTCACAAATTTATATTGTTTGCGACAGGCCATCAGATGTAATACCATCTATCCAGAAATGTATTATTCAGTTGAGCCAATGGCTTAATGCCAATTCACTTGTTTTCAATGATGGCAAAACAGAAGTAGTTCACTTTACTTCTCGTTTTTCTAAGGATGCGGAAAAACTAGAACTATTAAAATTTGGAAACAGTACAGTCACAGTAAAAGATGAGGTTAAAAACCTTGGAGTAATTTTTGATAATACAGGTAGGTGCGATAAGGCTGCCGACATCAGTAAAAAATGCAAAGCCGCTTTCTATGGTCTTAAAAAAATTTCCAAACTATCCCACATCCTTGATAAAAGTCAAATGGAGAGGCTTGTCCATGCCTTTATAACTTCACATCTTGACTACGGAAACAGTCTACTGTATGGTCTTCCTACCTATCAAATTGAAAAATTGCAATCTGTCCAAAATGCTGCAGCACGACTACTGACCAAAATCCCTCTCAGATCAAACATTTCACCCATTTTATTCGAACTACATTGGCTTCCTGTACGACAGAGAATTGTTTTTAAATTACTGTTGTTTGTTTTTAAATTCACTAGAGGTGAATGCCCCTCATATTTTAACTCGATGCTACATCCAAGTACACCCAGTCTCACCAGGTCTACCAGATCCACCTCCACTCCTTGTTTTATCAGAAATGATAATAAAAAAACAACCAAAACCTACGGCCACAGGGCATTTTCAATTTCAGCACCAATTTTATGGAATCAATTACCC